ACTACAACTACTACTACTTGACTAGTCTCCGCTCCGTCCTTGATTACGTCATACATAGTCCTTGCTCCCTCGGTCTACCGATCAAGAACTACTATATTACAACAAGCGGTCTTCCGTCTCTTTACTTTTCTCCAGTCAATTCACTATCCAGTCAAAATGGTCCACCCTTCCTCCACCTGCTGCAAGACCTCTGGTGATGGCAGCTGTGTTTGCGCTGCCCAGGCCAAGTGCTCGTGCGGCAAGCAGAACGCCCTCCACTGCACCTGCAACAAGGCTTCCACCGAGAACACCGTGAGCGGCGCCCGATGCTCCTGCAGTAAGTCATCTCCTCCCTGTCTACGCAGACTTGAGACATATATGCATTCGGCCTGGTGCTTCTGCGAACCAATCGCTAACATCATCTCCAGGAGCTCGTCCTGCCGGAGAATGTACCTGTGAACGTTCGGCAACTGAGAACCACCCGGTGACGGGTGCCGCCTGCCCATGCGGCAAGAGGTCTTCCAGTAAGTTTTAAAGTGTCTTATGTCGAGAGGATTCCGAGCTAACAAAGACCTTAGCTTCTTGCACCTGTGAGAAGGCCAGCGCCATTGACGCTGCTGTTGGTCTCGAGACTGACTTCACCACTCGGGCTTAAAGTCCACTCCTACACCTTTGTGTGGAAGTTCATGATCAAACTCTTCTTGAGTGTTACTAAATTGCATGTTCTTTGGGGTAATCGGTGTTCATCACGGAGTTTTCGGGGGGTTGAGATTGACCGAATTCATGGTTGCGTGGTTGTTTGACTCTGGGTTATTTTGCATTGCCATAGGCTATTCACATGGGGAAGCGAGAGGTTACGCAGGATCAGTGACGAAGAGTCCAATTATGTCTTAGAATTATACCTAATGCGATGACTGTCTGAATACCTGAATTCAGTGGGGAGATGAGTGTAGGAGTTTTTCTCGAAGATTACCTGGTTTCTTCGTCACCAGTAGCAGGGCGATTACTCTCACGGACATGCAAAAGGACATTTCAATCTGAGCCAAGAACGGAATGAAAAGTAGCAGGGGAGATTCATCAATCTGCGGAGTGATGTCTCTGCTGCAGTATCCCCACCCGATTGCAGTGCCTTGAAATCCGATAAGGTTCCTATAGATGTAGAACCATTCCTCTGAGCACAAATACAACTTGTGGGTGGTAAGTGTTGGAAGTTTAACGCCATATATATTTGATAAAGCTTAGCAAGCGATTATCCAACATAGAAATCCCAAATAAACAATTAATTGTCTTCACTTTTCCTACAGAATGATAGACTGCAGCTCCGATTCCTTAAATGGGGTTGACAGGCGCACCGCCACAGCGCAACAACATTTATCCCGATCTCCGCCGGATCGCCCGCGGAAGTGGCTGAGGCAGCTTCCCTCCTGGGCCAAAAGGGTCTCGTTCTCCCTCCTTTCCGCTGCCGGACAGCCTCCACGTCTCTCTGCTCGTTCCTGTCCCATAGAGCTCGACCTTCTGATCGGAGCCATCTACCGGGCTTTTTACCATCTTCCTGCTCTTTCAACTCCCTGGACAGTCCCCCCTACCCCTCGATTTGCGATTCGACTGTCCGTCCCACCCTCCCCCCTGTCGCGCGTTCTCCGAAAGGCCACACCCCTCCTCCAGATCTCGGCTCCTCCACTTGGCTCACCATTGCCCTTGCGCCATGCTCCATGCACCATAGCCACTAAAGCGGAATTGACAACGAACAACCCCGAAAGGAGGGACTGGACATGATTGTATGACATACACTCATTTGGAGGAATCTCACTAGCGTGGTGTTTGCGCTTACATGACTCCGTGAAGTTCAGGAACGACGATTCCGACAGCTCTCGATTTGATTTCCCGCTCTAATAATTGATCCTTAATTGTTCTCACGTCATATGCTATATCGGTCAACATGTCGTCTATGCGAGGTTTGGTTCAGTTCATCGCCGACTTGCGAAATGCAAGAGCGCGCGAACTCGAAGAGAAGCGGGTGAATAAGGAATTGGCCAACATTCGGCAGAAGTTCAAGGGTGGCAGTTTAAATGGTTATCAGAAGAAGAAATACGTTTGCAAGTTGCTCTACGTCTATATCCAAGGATACGATGTCGACTTCGGTCACCTCGAGGCCGTGAACCTGATCTCCTCCAACAAATACTCCGAGAAGCAGATCGGTTACCTGGCGGTCACTCTCTTTTTACACGAGCAGCATGAATTGCTCCATCTGGTTGTCAACAGTATACGGAAGGATCTGTTAGATCACAATGAGTTGAATAACTGTCTAGCCTTGCACGCGGTTGCGAACGTCGGCGGAAGAGAAATGGGCGAGGCGCTTTCGACAGATGTCCATCGGCTCCTGATTAGCCCGTGAGTGCCTCTACGGCCCTTCTGTCATCGGCCTTTTGCATGTCTGACTGACTGGGATCTAGTACCTCCAAGGCCTTTGTCAAGAAGAAGGCTGCGCTGACCCTCCTTCGACTGTATCGCAAGTTCCCCGACATTGTACAGAACGCTTGGGCGGAACGGATAATCTCCTTGATGGATGACTCCGATATGGGTGTCACGCTTTCGGTCACCTCGCTTGTAATGGCATTGGCCCAGGATAAACCCGATGAGTACAAAGGTTGCTACGTCAAGGCCGCACATCGCCTGAAAAGGATAGTAGTAGATAACGACATTGCCTCCGACTATCTTTACTACCGTGTGCCATGTCCTTGGATTCAGGTCAAGCTGTTGCGGTTGCTGCAGTACTATCCTCCAGCAGGTATGTCTTTCATGTATCATTATCGGCCGTATGTGCACCACTAAACAACTGAACAGAGGATAGCCATGTTCGCGAGATTATCCGTGAGTCTCTACAGCAAATCATGAACTTGGCCATGGATGCACCGAAAAATGTCCAGCAGAACAATGCCCAGAATGCCGTCCTTTTCGAGGCGATCAATCTCCTCATCCATCTCGATACCGAGCACAGCCTTATGATGCAAATATCTACACGTCTTGGAAAGTACATCCAGTCGCGAGAAACAAATGTTCGGTACTTGGGGTTGGAAGCCATGACGCATTTCGCGGCTCGGGCCGAGACTCTAGATCCTATCAAGAAGCACCAGAATATCATTCTCGGATCGCTCCGGGACCGCGATATCAGTGTTCGGCGCAAAGGTCTGGATTTGGTTTACAGTATGTGCGACACCACAAACGCCGGTCCGATTGTGAACGAGCTACTGCGTTACCTTCAGACGGCCGACTACGCCATCCGCGAGGAGATGGTGCTGAAGGTTGCTATTCTCACCGAGAAATATGCCACCGACGCGCAGTGGTACATTGACATGACCCTTAAGCTCTTGTCGCTGGCTGGAGATCACGTTAACGAGGAAGTGTGGCAACGAGTAATCCAGATCGTGACCAACAACGAAGAGCTGCAGGCTTATGCAGCGCACAACTTGCTTGGATATCTGAAGACCGATTGTCACGAGAGCTTGGTAAAGATTGGATGCTATGTTCTGGGTGAATTTGGCCATCTGATCGCCGACAATCAAGGCTCAAGTCCTATTGAGCAGTTCTTGGCGCTGCAAGCAAAGATGATCACCAGCACCGACACGACACGAGCGATGATTCTGTCCTCCTTTGTCAAATTTGTCAACCTATTCCCCGAGATCAAACCTCAACTTCTGCACATATTCCGTTTGTATAGCCACTCCCCCGATTCTGAATTGCAGCAGCGTGCTTTTGAATATTTGTCGCTGGCGACGCTTCCCACCGATGACCTTCTGCGGACGGTGTGCGACGAGATGCCACCCTTCTCAGAGCGCGCCTCGATTCTGCTCTCTCGGCTGCACCAGAAGACAGCCGGCACGACAGAGAAGAAGACGTGGGTGGTGGGTGGCAAGGATGCCAACGCCGACAAACAAGAGGTGCTCATGGCGCAGAACACGGGACTGAAGCGCAGCTTCACCACAATCGTCAATGGCCACAAGACCGGGGCCAATGGCACGACAGCCACGTCGGGGGCATCGGGCGACCTAGCAGGACTGGATCTCAGCGCCCCACCAGGCCCGCCGCCGAACATGGCCAGTGCGGCTCATCTCACGCCGGACTGGGATATCGGGTACAACCGACTCTACTTTGGAGATGAAGGTGTGCTGTTCGAGGATGCGCAAATTCAAGTTGGCCTGCGTTCCGAGTACCGGGGCCATATGGGTGTGGTGAAGATCTACATCTCTAATAAATCGTCCTACTCTATCGGGTCCCTCACGACGACGGTGGATAACCCGGCCGCACCGAACCTAAAGATTGACACAAAGAGTCTTCCCGATCCATCGGTGCCTGCCGTGGGTCAGACGCAGCAGACGTTCTTGGTCGAGGGGCGCGGGCCGTTCACGGAAGCGCCGACAATCCGCATTTCATATCTTGCGGGAGCGCTCCAGGCATACACGTTACAGCTGCCTATTCTCATGCACCGATACATGGAGCCATCGGCGTTGTCGGCAGAAGATTTCTTCAAGCGCTGGCGGCAAATTGGTGGGGGCCCGCTGGAGGCACAGAAAACATTTGGCGTTACGGCGCGACACAAGGAAATTGGCGAGTCGTTCACACGACGGGTGGTGGAAGGCTTTGGGTGGAAGATCCTGGACAACGTGGATCCGAATCCGAAGAACATCGTGGGCTGTGCAGTGTATCAGTTCGCTGAGGGCAAGACGGGCTGTCTCCTGCGACTGGAGCCCAACTATGAGAGATCGGTAAGTTTGCTCCCTTCACTATGTTAACCCCGTCGAGGACTGCAATGAGTGAGCTGACCATATGACTTAGATGTACCGAATCACTATCCGCGCGACACAGGAATCGGTGCCGCAGGCATTGGCCAAGCAGATGGAGCAGAAGCTGTCACAGGGAGAGCGGGGAGACAGTGGGCGATGATGCTCGGGGTGTGTCATGCTGCATGTTTGATTCTTCGTACTCCGCCAGGTGGCAGATGGCGGGGGGTGTATTTATTATTGATATCGCACATATATACCTGGGACATGCGGGACGCTTGTTCTTTTCTTTCATCTTAATGTACAGGCAGCAGTCGAAGTTACTGTCTTGGTTTCCCTTCCTCTCCCATCTCTTTTCCTCCCTTAAGGATGCATGATGCTTATAGAACACGTCGTGAATCGTAACACCTTTTAATGGGCTCAAACCACCCTGGCCTGATCCTTGGGCGGCCTATCCCCAAAGATAGTCGTCCCAACGCGAACCTCATCACTACCCAGAGCAATAGCGCCCTCGAAATCCTCACTCATACCCATACTCAACTCCAACTTGGCCTCCTCCCCCAGCAAGCCCAACTCCTTGACCACACGATCCCTGGTCTCCCTCAGACACACAAAATCCTCATTCTCATTCTCCGGCGTGGTAGCCTTCGACCTGGCAATCGCCCCAATAGTCATAACCCCTTGCAACCGCAACCGGGGACACTTATCCCTAATAAAGCGACACAATTCCAGCGCGCCATCGCCCGGCTCAACCCCACTCTTATTCTCCTCCCCAGAGGTATTCACCTGCACGAACACCCTCAACCTCTCCTCATGATTCGTCGCCTTCACCTCAGCACTCCTCTCTCCCCACCCTTTATCCAACAACGACGCCTTCTTGGTACTATCTACGCTCTCGACGGCCCAGAGCGCGGGGGTATCCCGCGCCAGAGTCACGCATTTATTGCTCTGCAGGCCGCCGATGAAGTGCCATTTTATGGTGGTGGGGAGGAGACGGGCTTTCTCTTGGAGTTCTTGGAGGTAGTTTTCGCCAAAGTGGGTTTGATGTGTGGGTGGGTTGGTGGTGGTAGTGTGGAGGGTGAGGATGTCACTGGCGGGTTTGAGTTTGGAGACGGCGACCAGACGGGGTGGGGTGGTTTTTGGAGATGAGGTGGTTGCGGTGTTGATGCGGGCTGTTACAGTTGCGAGGTTGGTGAGGAGGGTGGTGGTGCGGGTGGGGGTGGAGGGGCGGATTGAGGTGGTCATTTTTGTAGTAGTTATTTATTTTTCCTCCCCCGTTGGGTTGTGTTATATGCGATCTCTGGTTCGTGAGGTTGGATGAGGAGATAGTAGAACAGTAGTCCCAAGTTACAGCAAGTAACAGGTGATGATAAGATTGACTGTTCGGGCCGATGCAGAGCTACTACGCTAGTCTGGTTTGGGTGTTAGTGTTACACGTGATGGAGTGAGGTTCAATTCGGATTCGGCTTTATTGTTCCGAAGAGCACGTGGCTGACTAAGAGGGGGGACAGTTCGTGCTAACTAAGCTTAGCTAGTTGGTTAGTTCCAGATTAACTAATCAGGAATCAGTAATCAATCAGTCGTGTCGTCATTCTGCAGATTCGAAGAAGTCGACAGTCCATGGGTTTGGGGTTAGAGTTCGAGGTTACGTGTGTGTGTGTGTGTGTGTGTGTGGTGTTGTTCTAGATGATCTACTATTAGTTATGCCACTCTTTGATGTCATTATTCCCTCTCTCTCTCTCTCCCCTCCAGATCCCAGCATGCAACGACAAAGCCACACGTTGCTCCTTACCCCCCTCCATCCCCTTTCACCCCTCTCTCTCTTTCTATTTTTCCACTTTCTGCCGGTAGATCACACTAGAAGCCCGTTTTGGTTTCCCAAAACCGCCGCCCGGAGAAGGGAGGGGGGCTGTCAAGTCAGACCTTCGTCTTACTCCCGAACCCACTGCCAATTTCCATCGACTCCATCCGGCTCCATTTTGTCAAGGGACTATTTGTCTTCCGAGACCATTAGTGTTGACTATCTCGGCTGAAGGAGGAGCTCGTGGGTAACAAACAATAGTCGCAGTCCCTCTCTCTTTCTTTTCGGAGCGGTCTAGCAACCAACTTAACCAACACGGGGCTTTTATGTCCGACATTATCTCCTTAAACATAGCAAGTACGTACTAAAGAAATACAGATGCCTAGACCTCGACTCGCCGGATGTTCGACTGCTATTCCTATCCTGTCCGTTTTATTCCTTTCATAATGGTGTTCCTTTTCTTTTATTTTTTTTTTTTTTTACCCCCTGATGCACGCACACACATACACATAATTATACTCCCCCTGATTTATTATTATTAATAGAATTTTTTTTTTCCCCTTCCTTCTCTTTTCTTTCCATGGTTGTAGCAGATTCTGCTTGCCTTTTGTGCCTTAATTTTTTTTTGTTTGATGTTTCCTTTTATAAATTGACGTACCACTGACCACAACTCTGAAGTGACATTTAAAACCCGGATGGACCGGGGAACCATCACGGAACTGAACCAAACAATTTCGAGAAAAAATAACAAAAAAGCGAGATTTATAAGAAGAAAATCCAAATGAAAAGGGTAACACTAAGTAAGAAAAGGACTCAGGAGCCATCCGAATTAGGCAATGCAGTTAGTAGACTAGGTCCCAGTTGGCTTGGGCTTCGATCGATACGACAGTCCGATCATCCCTCATTCTCCGTGGTAGCCGGGCCAGTGAGCATTTGTAAAAGTAGTCGTCGATTCCTCTTCGTCATGATGAACCAGGGTTGCTGCATCTCTCACCGTTTCCCTTCCCTCCCTTCCTGCATGAAGCCATCATTCCATCCTTCCATTTGGTACACTCTTTAACGCCCTACTCCACCACAGCGCTTGCAGCTGACGTCAAACACTCGCTCTGCACCAACTGTCTGGACGGCTCTTTGCTGCTGCATTGTCATTCATTGCCCTTTCTCTCATGCTGGCTCTTTTTAAAGAAACACTCTGCCGTCATTTGCCTTCATTGATCATCCCAGTCGGCTTGAATGGAGTGGTGGTAGAATTCCGCTGACTGACCGACTGACTGATTGACTGACTGGCTCCCTTGCCCTCATTCATTAACGCTCTGCTCCCCTTCGCCTTTTCTCTTCCTCCCCACCTCCTCTTCCTCACAACTCTTCCCCTCTTCTTGCTCAACACGCATTGATGAACCTGGGAATTTACCTCCCATACTCGATTTTGATACAACAGTCCCGGAGACTGTCAACCCTCCAGCCTGGTTGTGCTGGAAGTGCGTCATATCAGCTCTTCCAACAAACCGCTTGACCCTCAAACCGAACCGCCCAGTCCAGACCCGCGGAACGCCGAGTGATCTCCATCCCTCCATCGTCATCTAGTGTATATCCTAACTATAAACCGCCCTCTCGTCCACCAGCTTCTACGCAGAATAGATTTTCAACTTACGAGACACGGCCAGCAAGAATCCACCTGCTTTGAAAGCAGTGTTACTACCCGCATTTTTCACTACAAAAAAGGAGTACGACCGAGTACATTCTTGCACCTCTCTATTCCACCCCCTCTCCGGAAGACCGCGGAGTCAGAAGAATCCCGCACCCAAATCCACACCGACTCAAACCCTCTTCAGCGCGGCCGGTCTTTGGGCACGAATTGCTTCTTGGTGGATCTAGATTCGACCGTTTAAACTTCCGGCACATTTGATCTCTCGCTTTCTTTTCTTATTTTGTGAAATTTACTTTTTCTGCACTGCCTCCCATCACCAACTCATCAATCACACTACCCGCTTCTCTGCCCTCTACCCCCCCCTCATTTCCAAGATGTGTCGCCAGTACTTTATGGTCTATGAATGGTGCCGGTGTGAAGAAGATGCCGGCCAACAGCTCTGTTCCTCGCGCAACAATGAGAACAATTACTGTCCCGAAACGTCCATCCAGTTGGTCCACATGCACTGTTTCTGCTACGGACACGCAACCCACGGCTTTAAGTCGGAGCGCAAGTTGCGCAAGCAGGAGCGCAAACAGGATCGCAAACGCTTCTCAATGCTGAGCTTTACAGACAAGAGTGACAGGAGCGACAGGAGCGAGCCCAGCGCCTCCAGCGAGACCAGCGAGCAAAGCTTGCCGACTCCACGGAAGAAGCGATGGTCCTTGTTCGCTAGCTTACGGTCGCGGACCTTTTAAGCTGCCTTTGATGTGGCCGAGTGTGTTTTTGCAATCGTTTGATTTTCCTTTGTGAATTGGGGTATTCTGTGAATCATCAGCACCGGTGTTTGGATGCATGGAATCATCTTTCTCCTTTGGGTGGGTTCGGTTCGGGCGTTTCTCGGGGTTTATTGTGTTTTTGCTTTTCACAGGGTCGGGCGGGACTTTGCACTATCCCGATGAGAAAAAAGAGACTTCTTCATACCCTCTCTTTGGTGTTTTTTTTTTTTTTTATTTTGGGAGGGTTTTATACATTGGGGTGACAATGTATGTTATCTGGATGGATATAGATAGATTGACTACTCCGATCGGATCGGGAACGATCTGATTGTGATGCGCGAACCCCGGATGATGCATGGATTATTTGGGGGCAGCAATAAGACGATCGACTATTGTCTGACCAGTGATTATTGGAAACCACATTGGCCCCGGTCAGGGATGATGGGTCATATTCTCGACAAGTTCCTGCAAGACACCCTTGGAAGGACTACTTTAGATGCAGCAGTAGTGAGTTGAGTAGTATCGAAGTAGAGATTAAGTAGAGAGGGCCAAGTGGAGCGCAATCCCGGATGGATCGCCGGCCCCTGAACCTGGAAAGTTGGAAGCTTGATTGTTGAAGCTTGAAGAATGAGGGGAAAACCCTGCATTGCATTGATTGATTTGATGGAATGCAAATTGATTGATTGACTTATGGAGGGAGGGAACTGGGTTTGAGTTCCCGTGCTTGTTGTTATCTTGTCTCCCTCCCTTTCCTCCTCTCTGTCTCTCTTCCTCTCTTCTCTCCCTCCTTCCCCCCTCCTCCTCCTCCTCCTCCTCCCTATCTATCCCTGAGTATTCAACTCCCACCCTCCCCATCTACCAACTCTTGTCGCATTATATTTCTCTTTTATTTCTATCTAGATTCTATAAATCTATAATTCTACCACTTCGATTTACCTCTCTACTCCACCTACAGAACATCCACTGAACAACCCCCCGATGGGCCCAATATGGACCCCTCCAAGCGCCATGAGCCCACCGCATTCACTGTGGCTTCATCCCCCCCAGCAACCGAGTCCCCGCTGTCTGCAGATGACGCGACTGCCTCGACTCAGAAACTAAGCTATCCCTCTCTACACGCGATGTCCCTGCCTCCCTCATCTCCTGGACTCTCGTCAGCCGCCTTGTTGTCGCCCTCCGATCCCCCCGCGCGTGCTGTCGCGACCCAGGCGCATCCCACCCCACGTCGCATTCCCAGCTCCAGCTCCCTGGCTGATGAGCGTCGCAAGTCCTCCCCCAGCCTGAAGAAACGCTCATCCACCGCATCACTACGTTCTAACCGTGGAGCGTCCACTTCACCCCGCCCCAGCTTATCGCGACACTCCTCATCCTCGTTCGGCACCTCCCCGACGAGCGCGCCCGCCACCCACCCAAACATGGCCAAGAAGGCTCATCGGACAGCGTCGGCGGAGCATTCTGTCGCTGCAGCAGCGGCAGCATCCATCGCAGCAGAGTCCTTTCGCAAAGAAGTGGCCTGGCATCAGTCCGCAAAGCCACAGTCGCAGACACTCGTGCTCGTCCATGATGCGTGTTATGGCCATCGCTTCTCGCGCCCGCGAACCTCCCGCGCGGCGCTTAACTCTATCGTCGAGCGCCCCGAGCGCATCCAGGCCAGCGTGCTGGGCATTTCGGCCGCCTATGTTCGACTAGCCCGGCGACATGCTGGAGGCACGTTCGCCCCTCATCCCGACCTCAATCCGCAGCAGCTGCCGGTCCCACCATTCCATATTCGCAAGACGGCACGGAAACTGTCGCTCAGCTCGCCTGCTGTCACTCACGTGCATGGGTCCAAGTGGATGGAGGACCTAAAGACCATGTGCGATGCAGCCGAATCCCGGCTTGCGTTGAACGGCAAGGAGTTGGTCCGCCCTCGCAGCGCCGGCAAGGACAGCGCCGCCACTAATGCCCCTGCTTTTCACGAAGGAGACCTCTATTTATGCTCGGAATCCTTGAGCGCGTTCGAAGGCGCCCTGGGAGGTGTCAGTGACGGCGTGGACGCGGTCATGGGTCCGGGCCCAACCAAGCGAGCGTTTGTCTGCATTCGCCCGCCCGGTCATCATTGTTCTGCGGGTCATCCGTCAGGGTTCTGTTGGATTAACAACGTTCATGTGGGCATCTCGTATGCGGCCATGACTCATGGCTTGACCCATGCCGCCATTCTCGACTTTGATCTGCATCATGGAGACGGATCGCAAGATATCGCCTGGCAGCAAAATCACAAAGCGATAACCGCGCCACGGAATGCGGCCGCCCATCGAAAGACCATGGTGGGCTACTTTAGTCTGCACGACATCAATTCCTATCCGTGTGAAATGGGGGAGCCGGAAAAGGTGCGCAATGCGAGCGTGTGTATTGACAAGGCCCACGGCCAGTCCATCTGGAACGTGCATCTGGAGCCGTGGAAGTCGGACAAAGAATTCTGGGACCTGTATGCTGCCAAGTACACTGTGCTGATCGACAAGGCGCGGGCGTTCCTGCGCATGCATACCGAGCGGCTGGCCAACACGCCCAATGGACCTCCGCCGAAGGCAGCCATCTTTATTTCAGCCGGGTTTGACGCGAGCGAGTGGGAGGGCGCCGGCATGCAGCGCCACCAGGTAAACGTGCCCACCGAGTTTTATGCCAGGTTCACGGCCGACGTGGTGCGGATGGCGAACGAGGAGGGCCTGGGGACGGATGGGCGAATCATCAGTGTCCTCGAGGGCGGATACAGCAATCGCGCATTGACCAGCGGTGTGCTCAGTCATTTGTCTGGGCTGGGAGATGCAAAGGGCAACACCCATGATGTGGATGACCGGCAGATCGATCGTCTCGCGTCAGAAATGACAGATCGTCTGGGCCTATCTGATTCGGCAGAGGGGCGGTCGGTGACTGAACCGATGTACAACAGTGAGTGGTGGTCACCAGGAGTGCTGGAGGAACTGGAGGCGCTGGTTTATTCGCCGGCTGCACCTGTCAAGCCCCGGGAGAAGGCTGTGCCGACCTACTTAACCACAACGCAGTCATTTTCTGCCAAAGTGGTCAATCCCCCGCGAGACCGCAGGTCGACCGGTTCATACTCGAGCCCAGAGCCGGAAGCACCGTCTCCACCCCCGCCAGTCGGCTGGGCGACTGCCACACATGAGCTATGCAAGGTCCTGGTCCCGACCGGTCGGCAGACGACAAGCTGTCGGCCGGAAGAGCTCAATGCCGAGGCATCGCGCCTGCGACGGGAGCGTCAGACAGCCGCAGATGCAGCCTCCACAAGCGCGACCACGGCGGCGGTGGCAGCTGCGGCTGCAGCTGCGGCTACAGCTACAACTACGGTATCGACCACAGAAGACAGCCGGATGAAGCTCCGCGTGCGAAAGCCCAAGCCCTCGCTGCCTGCCTCGCCTCCGGCAGACACAGTCAAGCGCCCTACAGCTCGTGGCAGTCGGAGAACCACCATCGACACAGCGCCAGACACAGCTTCTGCAGTACAGACACCCGGTCGCGTGGCCCGCAGGAAGAGTGCAGGAGCCGGGTCAGCAGTATCGACGCCAGAGCCGACCGGGCCCAGACCCGCGTCGAGTGCCGCGGTGCGCAAGACTAGTACTTCACAATCCAGCACACCTCGATTATCCTCGAATCCGAATACGCCTCCTGTGCCGCGAGTGCCGCCGGCTTTTCTTTCTGCCGAAAGCGAAGGATCGCCAAATCCTGATGGGACCCAGGATGATCTGGACAGTCTGACGGCCGGGGTACGCAAGCTGCATATCAAGTTGAAGGTCCCATCGCCAGAAGAGAATGCAGCCAGGGAGAGAGAAAGAGAGAGACGAGCAGCGGAAGAGCGGAAGCGCGCAGCCTCCAAGGCCAGTTCAAAGACGCAGACGCAGACGCAGACGCAGACCCCCAAGTCGCCTCGCAAGCCCGCTGGTCGGGCACTGAGCTCGGCTTCAAAGGCGGCTCGGTCTGCAGCGAAGCCCGCACCAGTGGCATTTCAATCAGATACAGAAGCCAAGGACGAGCCATCGATCGTCACGCCTGTGACCTCGTCACCGCTGTCCGTGAGCAAAGTTGAAAGCAGTACCACCAATGGCTGGGACAGAAGTGAACCCGAGGCTGCAGCTAGCATGGTCATGTCGCCGCCATTGACACCAGGCCGTCCGCCATCGGCATTGTATTCCCCTCCCGGAATGACACTGGCGCGGGACGGATTGCCGGTGATGATGTCAAGCGGGGTGATACCATTTGCAGAGGCCGTACGGAGGGATGAGCAGGGGGAGGAGCAGAAGGAAGGTAATAATTAATTATCATTGTGATTCACTCATTGATTTTCCTTGTGTTGGACTTGATACTTCTGATATTTGTTTGATATACCCCTCGTGTTGGAGTTTTCCATGTCATTCCTTCTTTCTTCTATGTCAGAAAGAATTAAAATTAGCAGAATAATTAATCGATTGAATGTAGCACACATATCTCCGAGCAATCTCCGATCCGATCAGATAAAATTGTGCACCGCCACGCTGAGTCATTTGCCTCTCTCTGTCTCTCCGCATGACTCCCGCCGCCAGGCGCTTCCAGCATCTGCCAGAAAGAACATTATTAAACATTTGCTTAGTCTTTTCAATCTACGGAGTATTCTTCCCTCCATATATCTCAACTCTCACCTTTCCTCTCCATCCCTCCCACTCTCGAACCAACCCATACTCAGAAAATCCACCAAAAAAATGTCCCCAATACCCTCCCCGAACCAAACCACCTCATCAGCAACAGACGCCGACCTCGACGCCATCGGCTCCCACTGCTCCCTCCCAACCTGCAACCAACTCGACTTCCTCCCATTCCGCTGCCCCTCCTGCAAGGGGACATATTGTCTGGAACACAGAACCGAAACAGCGCATAAATGCCCGAATGCCCGAATCTCACCCTCACCGTCCACAACCTCTACATCCACATCCACAACTCAGCAGCAACAACAGAAACCCAATATATACACCGCAGATCAATGCGCGCATATCTCATGCAAAACTCTCATTAATACCCTCACTGACCCTGGCGTGCGATGCGATCAGTGTCGGAAGGAGTATTGTCTCAGACATCGGTTGAGGGAGGGGCATGATTGTCGGCCTGTCTCTAATAATAATAATGGTAGGAATGGTGCTAGAGGTGCAGGGAATGTGGGAGGAGGGACGGATACGTTGAAGTCGATGTTTGGGAAGTTGCGCGCTTGGGGGAATAAACCCTCTTCTTCCTCCTCTTCTACCAGTGGTAGTGGTGGTAGTGGTAGTGGGAGGAAACCACCCAGCCGGGCAGTGCAAGTGAATACCATGAAACGCACCGCCAAGGGGGAGAACAACATCCCCAGCGACAAACGGATCTATTTACATGTTGTGGGGACGAGCGAGACGACGAATAAGCCGGCGACGGATCCCCCGAGAGGGGACTTTTTCTTCGATGAGAGGTGGAAGGTGGGGAGGGTGTTGGATGATGCGGCGAGACGGTTGCAAGTGGAGAATGTGAATAATCGGGGCGGAGGGGAGGAGGAGAAGTTGAGGGTGTTTCATGTTGAGGGGGGAGTGTTTTTGGAGTTTGGGGAGAGTGTGGGTGCGAAGGTGAAGTCTGGGGATACGGTGGTGTTGTTGAGGGGGGCGGGGGTTATTTTATAGAGAAACCTCCCGGAGGGAGGTGGTGTAGACGGGGGGGTGGGGATGTAGAGTATATACCCTTGCTTACTTGTTTGCTGCTATCTAAACATATTCATCTATCACTCACTGTCTTAAACTCTCTATATACGGCGTAGTATAGTACCAGCTAAACGCTCATCTTCATCTTAATCGCCTTATGCGGCTTATACCCAACGACCTCAAACTCCTCCTCCTTCCACCCATCCACAACCCCACTACCCCTATCGTCCCTCTTAATCCTCACCTCCGGAAACGCCACCGGCTCACGTTCAATCTGCTCCTTCAACGCCTCCACATGATCCAAATAAACATGAGCATCACCCAAGGTATGCACCAACGTCCCAGGAACCATATCAACCGCATGGGCCAACAAATGCGTCAACAACGCATAAGAAGCAATATTAAACGGCACACCAAGCCCCATATCCGCACTTCTCTGATACAACAAACAATCCAAATGGCCCTTCCCCCACTCCCCATCCCTAACCACCCCATCTGCATCCCTCTTCGCATCCGGAAACCTAACATAAAACTGCGCAAACATATGACAAGGCGGCAGAGCCATAATCCTCATATCCTTCGGATTCCACGCCGACATAATAATCCTCCGATCGAACGGGTTCTCCTTCAACTTCTTGACCACCTCAGCTAACTGATCCACGCCCTGACCGGTATAATCTGTCTTAGCGTCGACGTATTCCGCCCCGAAATGTCTCCATTGGAAGCCGTACACGGGACCTAGGTCGCCGACTTCCCGGTGCGAGAGACCGACTTTGTCGAGGTATTCGCGTGAGCCGTTGCCGTCCCAGATTTTGATCCCGGCTTCGCTGAGGGGTACGGAGGAGGTCGTGCCCGAGATGAACCAGAGGAGTTCGGCGAGGACGGCGCGCAGGAAGACCCGTTTGGTGGTTAGGAGGGGGAGGATTGGGGTGTAGGGTTCTTCTTCTGAGGTGGTGGAGGGTTTGGAGAGAGAGAAGCGCATCTGTGGAGGGGCGAAGATCGAGCGTGTGCCTGTGCCGGTGCGGTCCGGGCGGTGCTCGCCTTCCGCGAGGATGCGGCGGATTAGGTTCAGGTATTGGTGTTCTTCGTGAGTTGGGTCGTGGGGAATGGGCTGGGGAGTGGTGGTGGTGGTGGTTGTGGGTTGGGGAGTTGACTCCTGGATGGGGAGGGTCTCGGCTGAGGGGGCCATTTTGTATATTTCTCTGTGGTGGCTGTTTCTTGGTGTTTTGTGTGTTGTGGTATCTTGATATGGGGTATAAGTGATTTGTAAATCGTGTCTGGGGTGAAGTGGGATGGAGGAGTAAATGCTGGGATTGACGCGCCCGCGACGCGCCACGTAGTCATGTGACCGTGTCGTCGGATGTAATATCCGATCTCGGAGGTACGATGTATAGATCTTATAGATGGAACAGTAGCATACGACTCTATTCAACTGGTATCTGGTATCTTACTCCATCAAATCTACTCCCACTCCCCGCAGTGCAGTCACTACCCACTCCGGGTAATTCGTCTTCTCTCCATACAACTTCCCAAAGAAGTCGCGCAAAAACGCCGGGAACCGGTCTTCTATGATGGCCTGTCGCGCCGATCCCATCAGCGACAGCAGATAGTGCACGTTGTGCATCGTAAGCCTGTTCATTAGTACACATCATACCATACACACTCTGGAATGGCACTTACAGATGCGCTCCTACTGTTTCCTTCGCCGCCAAATGGTGCAGGTATGCCCGCGTAATGCCCAGTCCACCCTGCTCCTTCGGGAGACAGATGCTGCAGGTGCAGCCCTCCTGCACCGGCCGGAAGTCCTCTGCGAAAGACCGGTGGCGCAGGTTCAATGTTCCTGTCGGGACCACAGCGTTGCCGAAGCGCTAGAGGAGTTAGCCAAGTACATCAGCCAGGAAAATACAACGTACAGCCGTCCGTGTCGGCCAGACACAATCAAACATGTCTGCGCCGAGCGCAACTCCCATGATCAAGTCCTCCGGATAGCCCTAACCAGGTCAGCCTGCACATACACCCTCTGAGCTGAACAACCTACCACTCCCATCACATATCGCGGCTTCTTCTCCGGAAGCAGTCCCGTGCAAGTATCCACCCTAACCAATTAGCCCAGAACCCCCATAAGATAAAGGATACAACATACACCCTGCAAAAGTCCTCCTTCGCCTCACCACCAGAAAGACCACCAATGGCGATACCCGGTGTATCTCGCGCCACCATCTCTTCGCAGCATTGTTTCCGCATCTCCAAATCCAGTCCACCCTGGATAATGCAAAACAGATTCTGTCTCTCCGGGTACTTGTGTGCATCGATACAACGATCCAACCAGCGAACGGAACGCTCCATGGCTTCGTGAATTCTCGCCTGGTCCGGCGAAGTGGTTGCAATCACGTCGTCCAATTGCATGATAATATCGGATCCGATCGAATTCTGTAACGAGATGGAATGTTCGGGGGTGAGCAGCCTTTAGAATAAAACTGCCATTAGCTTTTCGCCAACCACAAACACAGCCTACCCCCGAGAGAAAAGGGAATAACGAACATCGGTGTGCCATCATGAGGACTCAAAAACCGTACACCCTCCTCCGTAACAGTGGCAAGTTTAAGCAAGGACACCATTTGGAATCTGCACTCCATCATCAGTTAACCCGATCATCACGGAGACATAGGCGATATCAAGCGCACCCTCCACTATCCGTAAGAATATTCCGATCCCATCCCTGCAACTTATGCGCCCCGCCTACGGCATCCAGCACCGCCTGGCCGGGTTTCAATCCAAGGTGGTAGGTATTATTCAGACAGAGCTGACAGCCCGTCTGGCGGAGCTGGTCGTACGTCAAGCCCTTCAGGGAGGCCTGGGTCGCGACGGGCATGAAGATAGGGAGGGGGACATCGCCATGGGGGAGGCGGAGGGTACTGGCGCGTGCTTTTGTTGTCTAGGTATAGATAATATAGTCAGCATACGATGAGAATTCTCAACCAGATTGGAGTAGCGAGCATACTGAACACTTAGCATGTAAATCAAAGGTCAATGCCGAGGGCATGGGTTTGCGCGTAGGAGTGGTGGTCGTGGCAGTCGACATGGTTGCGATAGTAGGAGCCCCGCTCGGAGCTGGAGCTGGAGCTGAAGAGGGGATGATGCGGGCAAGGGTTGATGTTGTTGCCGATTTATATAAGGTTGTAGGGGTGGTGGATAGTATTGTGCCTGAGCGGCAGCTTCTTATCCAATTCTGTGCGATGACTCGGGCATACATTCATGAAAAACCCAGAAGCATGGGCATTCTCTGTCTGTCAGCGACTCTTTTTGTCTTTCTTGTCTTGGATCAATATCAGTGGTGTTTGTCTTGTTTGTATTTTTTGCATTGATTGATACTATTGGTATTATACCAGGAATGCTGTCACGGTCATACAGAATTACAATACGGACATCTTCCCCGCATTTACTCCGTCTCCCCCATTCTCATAGTATTGCCGGTCCCTGCGGAGGTCCTTCGATGTGGAGGATGCCCTGGAGAAAACTATCTATCCTCATCATCTTGAATTTCCTCCTCACATCTGTCTACTACGAGCGCATTCTCGCCTGCTCAAGAGAATGAAAGATTACAAGCCCAATTCTTTCCTTCCAATCAATCAATGGCAAACAAACCTTGCATACCCGACTGACTCGCCCGCAGCAAAAAGAACTTCCGCTCAACTGAGCCAATTTTGCCGATCAGCCACTAGCAAGCAGCCATGCAGCTTAAGTAGCCTTTGGGGATGGCGGTCTGCCTCCGGTTCGGGGCTAGCTAAGCTGGACTGAGTTGGAGTCAGCCGGTCTGTCGGTCTTCTCGCGTGGAGTTTTCTGCACTCTCTTTTCCTGTCTGTCTCCCTCTGACGCACGGTCGAGTCACGGAGATTTACGTGGTGATCTATTGCGACGAGGGGTGCTGCTACTGATTCATCATTATTAAGGTTCACGATAGACCTGTCTTGCTCAAGACATCGCAATGAGTGGGGAAAAGAATTTGGACCACGCTGAGAGCGTGCAGGATGTTGAATTTGCTCCGCAGGTGAACTCTCTAGCTCTCCTCCATTCAGCTTACAGACTTCTAATGGCATAATGGCAACTCAGGTAACCGGGGAGAGCTACACTGGGATAGATCTCAGCACTCGCGAGAAAGCCCTGGTCTGGAAGCAAGACCGGCGAATTGTGCCACTCTGCGCGGGCATCTATCTTCTCTGCTATCTGGATCGTTCCAACATAGGTAATTGACATCCTAGGGCATGCAGTATAGTATACTGACAGACTAGGAAATGCCAAAATCCTCAACCAAGACACCGGCAACGATCTCCTCTCGGAGACGCATATGACTTCGTACCAGTACACGTAGGTACCTCTGCTGTCAAGTTGACTGTGCAACTGCTAATCATGCAGTGTCGCACTCATGGTGTTCTTAATCGCGTATGCGCTATTCGAAGTGCCCTCCAATTATCTGCTCAAGAAGTTGAAGCCCAGCGTAAGTCATCCCCATTCCAGTCAGAGCAAGATTAACGAGAACAGAGATGGATCGGATTCCTCATGCTGTCCTGGGGAGCTACCACAATGGGCTTGGGCGGATCGCACAATTTCTCCCAGGTGACTGGTATTCGGTTCCTGCTCGGAGGTAATAGATTGAACATCGATATTTGTGGAATCTGCTGACCCTGACATGTCAGCCACGGAGGCCGGCCTTTTCCCCGGGCTCGTCTACTACCTGACATTTTGGTATCGCAATTCAGAGCGGTCCATGCGCGTTGCTCTCATCCTAGCATCCGCCACCCTCGCGGGTGCTTTCGGTGGTGCCATTGCCTATGGCGTAGGACATATGAACGAGGTCCGCGGGCTATCAGCATGGCGATGGCTGTTCATCATCGAAGGCGCTCCGTCGTGCGCCTCGGCCTTTCTCGTCTGGTTCTTCCTCCCTGACTATCCCGAGTCGGCGTCGTGGCTCAGCCCGGAAGAGAAGGATCTTGCTATCCACCGATTGAAAGAGGAAGGCTCTCATGGAGCGGCGAAGGCTATGAGCTGGGAAGAGGCAAAGGAGATCCTGACGGATTGGAGACTATACGCGCATTATATATTTAGTTCTCCCAGTGCATATCAGCGACAGACCCTAACAATGCTGGTATAGGTATATTTCGGCATCTCGACCCCCTTCTCCAGTCTTTCCCTCTTCACCCCTGCCATCGTCAGTGGCCTTGGGTATGCGGATTTGCGGGCCCAGCTCATGACAGTACCGCCATGGGCTGCTGCCTATGTGGTAACTACTGTCGTTGCATGGTCCGCCGACCACTTCAACAGGTATATAGTCATCTGCTTTCAATCCGAGCGATACTGATATATGAACCGAAACACAGTCGTGGTCTGCATTCCGCCCTCTTTGCCTTTATCGGAGCCATGGGTTTCCTCGCATCTGCCGTTCTTCCCGCAGACGCATACTTGGTACGCGCAAGCATTTAACCCAATCCAGCCATTATCCAGACCATCCACTAATCCGTGTCACAGCACCGATACGGATGTCTCGTAGTCGCAGCCAGTGGCTCTTTCGCCTGCATCCCGCCCTTACTCGGCTGGCTATCTGCCAATATCCGCTCGACAGCAGGGACCGGCCTAGCTATTGCATTGAACGTGTCATTTGGGGCGCCGGGACAAATCGTAGGGGTATGGATATACAAATCCGACGAGGAGAAGAAGGGTTATCCGACGGGACATTGGACGAATGCGGCGCTGCTGCTGATGGTCACGGCGGGGTGTATTCTGCTGCGACTGTATTATGGATGGAGGAACAAGGGCACCAAGGGTGGTGAAAGGTTTGCTTATTGATTGATTGACTGCGTGCTAGTTATCAGGTTAGTACTATAACATGAATAGTATATAATTGAAGTTGGGGAGATCTGCCAGTCTGGTGAGAGTTCCGGTGCTGGAGGGAATACTCACCAGCAACCATGGTTCATATCCACCATATTACTTCCCAGGTTCTTCTCAGATGGATTTCAGCACCACTCGGCTGCCAATTGTGCAATTAGAGTAATTCGTGCCCAAGTCTCGAGAGGTAGGACGGTGAACGAGTCATGCTAGTGCGAAAAGGAAAAAAGCAAAATGGACTAGAAAGAAAAAGGCAGTTAGTTCTCGCCAACTCAAAACAAGGAATCCGGTGGATGCCAATTGATGCCAATTGATGCCAATTGGAGCAACTGTGCCCCATATTGCAGAGAAGACTGTCTCCAAAAGTAGATAGCAGACGCCATGGCATACCTAATTGCCATCTACCATATGGTGTTAAGGGTGCGCGGGTCCCACGGAGAATAATAAATGAATGATTGGCATGCGAACCATGGAACCGGAGAGACTGGCGGGCGGGCGGGCACAACACGTGAAGGAAATAAGGTTAAGCTCAGGACCATGACGGGTTGCTAAACCAGAGGTCTGGTTTGCCAATATTCAGTAGGTAAGAATAAATAAAGTAAGGTTTCCCTTCTCCTGGAGGGGTATACGGGTCAGCAACCACTATTCAACACCACCCGCTAAGCACTATCCAGACCTGGCATCCCAGGGGTTTGGGTGCTGTGGATATTTCCGCGTCTGACAAAACTCCCGAACTGGCGGTGGGACCTGAGGGTCTTCCACTTTTCTTTTCTTCACTTAGCGCTGACGGACTGATTGACTGGGCTGGTCTTGAGGAACTGCTCGGTTCCCAAATAGAAAGATAACCAAAAATAATTGAATTGAAAGCATGACTTCATTCGAAAATAGATGGGATAAATATGAAAAAAAAAAAAAAAATAAAATAAAATAAAAAAAAAATAAAATAAGTAAAAAAATTTGAACCCCGGCAGACATTAGTCTCTACACCAATCCATGGAGGGGCTATTCCCAACCAGGCACTGTCGCCAAAAATAAGAAAGACACAACGGTCTGGAATAGATGAAAAGAAAACAATTCCCGAGATGTTCCCTCAACTCCGCCCATAAACGCTGTGAGAACTGATATGGAAAAGAAGAGAAAGATTTTTTTTTCCTTTTCTTTTTTTGTTGACTTGTCAAATTCCCTCCCTCCCCTGCCAGCACTCAGTTGGCGCACAGCAAGTCGCTTCTGCTCCGCACTAACGATCGCTTGTCCAGAATGCATGGGCGATGGGCGCCTCTCTGCTTCATGGCCAAGCGGGCATAGGAAGGGAAAGTAAAAGATAAGAAAAAGACCGGCAGTATGAATCGCTACCATGATGAAGGAGGAAAGAAAATAAAGGCCTCAAAACTAACTCGGTCAAAATGCCAAAAAGGTCGCAAATCGCACGAATCTGTTCTGTCGTCCTAAAGCATTTGTTCGGGGCCCGACTGTCGGATTTAAAGAACTGGCGCAAATGACAACAGGACTGTCAAATGCGCTCGCCGCCTGCGGATTGAATCAAATCAATATGACCGGACCATCCGAGCCGACTCCGGCAAGGGCACACTGCAGAACAGACAGGGGCCAAGGTTCATCCGCTCAACGGTAACCTTCTTCCCGCAGGAAGTGAGCCTCAGCCATGTCCACAATCCACCCCATACCGTTGTCGTGCCATTCTGCGTTGGGGAATAATCAAGGGAATCGAGCGGGGAAAGAGCAAACAAGTCTCGAGAACAAAGAGGGAAAGGTCAATTGTCGACATCCGAAGTGTTGTACATGTCTGCGAGACCCGAGGAGTAGGCATCAATCCGGATGGCGTCGTACATAACAAGCAAACTGAGCGTAATAAATAAAATAATCATAGAAGAACCGGAATAGACGAGGGCGAGGGAGAGGAGAGAGACATGAGTCATTCTCCCAGTGAACATCCAGACAAGATCTAGAAATACAGCCTCTCGACGAACATCAAGGGGTGTTGGTCAACTTCCTCCAAGCGACCTCAGCAGCATCTTCTCGGGCATTGTTATCACCGTCGAAGAAGTATCGTCCCGGAATTACCCACGGGACTCCCGGGACACGGTGCTGAACGGTGACCTTGGAGGTCCAAGCTGTGCGACCTCCTGAACAGCGACACACCCGTCAGTATAACCAGACCTTTTGCTTGAAATGAGGAGGCTCAAAAGTCGGTGAAGCAGAGCTTAGCTTCGCTATCACAAGCACACTGTGGGCAACAGCAAGCAGTGAGGGGCAATGAAAGGACAAGGAACTCCCAACAACGAGGGGTAATCAGGAGAGTTGACGGCTGGGGG